ATCATCCTATTTGCGATATTAAGAGTTTGAGCAAAATACTCATTTATGGATTCGTCATTCTTCATCTGCAAGATTTTTCAATCACAATGCAGGACTTGAAGTTGTGCTCGCTTCATTCTGAAAATGGAGTCCCACGTTTATGGATTCGTCATTCTTCATTTGCAAGATTTTCCAATCATGACGTAGTACCTGAAGTTGTACTCGCTTCATTTTGACAATGGAGTCCCATATCTCCTTCAAAGTCTCGTTCTTCAAAATCGTCTCAAGCACCACTCGATTAATTACTTGAAATAAATAATTTTTGACCTTTAAATCCTTCAACTTAAAGTCTTCTAAAGTTTTCTTCCCATTCATTGTCAATACAACCCCAGCTGCTTGTGGGGAGAGTCCTGGATCTATGAGATTTCAGTACTCCTTTGACTTGAGGAAGTTTTCCATGAGTAATTTCAATGTTCATAATGCTCATTCAGTTTAAGAATAGCAAGTTGCACTTGCTTTTGTGGCCATGGGTGAAGTCTGCTACTTCTCGTAACCCACTTGATTCTGATACCAAATGTTGATTAACAGGTAAGATGCATAATCATATTTGGAGGTCATCAAACAGAGAATATTTTTAATGATGACATGATTTGACATCTGTTCTCCATACATTATCATCCTATTTGCGATAGTAAGAGTTTGGAGCAAAATACTCGTTTATGGATTCGTTATTCTTCATCTGCAAGATTTTCCAATCACGATGCAGGACCTGAAGTTGTGCTCACTTCATTCTAACAATAGAGTCACACATTTATGGATTCATCATTCTTAATATGCAAAATTTTCCAATCATGACGCAGGACCTGAAGTTGTGCTCACTTCATTCTGACAATGGAGTCCCAGATCTCCTTCGAAATCTCCTTCAAAATCGTCTCAAACACCACTCGATCAATTACTTGAAATAAATAATTTTTGACGTTTAAATCCTTCAACTTAAAGTCTACCAAAGTTTCCTCCTCATTCACTGTCAATACAACCCTAGCTGCTTGTGGGATGAGTCCTAGATCTATGAGATTTTAGTACTCCTTTGATCTGAGGAAGTTTTTCATGAGTAATTCCCAATGTTCATAATGCTCATTCAGTTTAAGAATCGTGGGATGCACTTACTTCCGTTGTCATGGGTAAAGTATGCTACTTCTCGTAACCCACCTGGTTCTGATACCAAATGATGATTAGCATGTAAAAGAAATTGTTTTGTTATCAGAGGTAGTTGTACAATACTTTTCATTCAGAACAAAAAAAAAAAAATCAAGTTTATAGACTTAGCCTTATAATTGTTTTGTTAAAAAATAACAGCACAATGTGCTTTCTTAAAATATTGATAACAAAGTACTACAAAATCTAAAATAGAAACAAATTAGCTTTTTTAAAATATTTTGAGTCTTTCAACATATAAAAGAAAAAAATAAAAGACAATGGAATCAAAATTATACTAAAATATTATTTTTCTTCCTTAACGTAGTGGGCTTTAAGTACATGATTTTAACATATTTTGACTTTTTCTTAAAAATATCAAATTTTTATTTACCACATCTATGAATCTAAATTCAATTAATTCATAAATATTAATTAAATTTCTACATTTACATAAAAAAAATTCATATATTTTTTAAATATTTTGTAATCAAGTGTTACAATCCAAGATTCTAGCGTCATCACTAATAGTTAAATATTGAAACAATCTTAGTTAATTCCTATTACAGAAATGTTGAGTGTAAAGTCGTACATGGAACATGCCTGTTAACGACATAGTTTAGATGCTCTCCAAACCTGACTTTATAATGACAAACAGGTTATTTTATTTTATTTTCAGAACATGTTTGACTGAGAAAAAAAAAAATACAACTTTAAAACCTAATTTAAAAAATTCAATACCATTCAAAAATCAAGTTTAAAAACTACTGTGTTCTACCTTCTAATTGTGCCATTTTTTCTACTTTCAAAGTGTGAACAGCCACACCTTAACGTATTTTTTTTTTTTTTTTTATCATTATTCCGTCTCCACTAGCTTCTCTCTATCTAGCCTATAACAACTTGGTCAATGTGGTAAAAAGAGCCGTTTTTTGAGAAACATATATTTAAAATAATAAAAGCAATGGCTTTGACCACTGCAATTTGGAAAGTTCTTCAAACAAAGAGGACCGGTGTTTCCCGTATTAGCCTTTTCGGCTCATTTGTATACCAGTCTTTGTTGGTCATTATAGTTTGGAGTTAGACCCAACGCAATTAGTGGACATCCATCACGATTCCTTTATTTCCTTTATTATTATTATTATCACTAGGAAACAATCAATGCAGGATTTAAAGTTGGCTACTTATGAATTCATGATTTTTTTTAATAAACTAAATAAAGGATATATTAAAATAAAATACAAACCATAACTTAATAGAGTTATACAAACCATTAACATACTAATTCTCCTCCAAAATGCATTTCAATGATACATAATAACATTAATAAAATATTTTTTTCTTACCAAGTTGAAGTAGGACGATTCCGTAAAAAAGTGAAGTCAGACTGACCGATTTCTTAAAACTTCAATAACTAATCTTTGATGGCTGATCTTTCAGGTTTTAATTGAAATTTCTATTGAAAATTCGTATATGCTGACCTTTAAAACATATTTTGATGTTAAAGTCAATTTTTAAATAAAAAAATATGTATTTGATATTGAGTTATGACGTGAGTTTTACTTCTTAACTAAATCCTTTAATATAGTATTAAAAAAAATAACAATGTGCAAAAATATAATAACTGTCTACCCATAAAATCATAATGAATATAATATATTATAACAAAATAAAGACAATTAATAACATAAATAAAAAGAATACCTTTAATAGATTTAGAGTGATTATCATAACTAATTGAGGCAATAATAATTTGATTTGAGTCGGATAGATACAATTTTATATATTCCACATTCTCTCGTTTATAAAGACCACCAAACAAGTCTTATTTTTACACCTAATCAATCTCCTAAGCACAAATTTAAACATGCTTCAATGTTAGAACTGGCTCGCTAATTTGATTTATTCATATTGTTATTTTCTAACCTTCATGTAACTAGATTATATGCATCCCAAATCTTAAAGTAGAATTCTCCATTATCCATATTGCTCTTTAATTATGTAATAAAATCTTCTACACGTTATAAAACAATCTATTTTACAAATCATATAATGTTAATTTAACCATATAAATAAAAATATATTTTCTTGAATCTATCATCACAATATGACGGATTAAAATTAAAATAATTAAGTCAAAATAATCTAAATTTATTCTCTAAAACAATTGCACGTTAATACACCTTTTTCTTGAAGGAATAATTTTTTACTTTCTAGACATCTATTAGAAAAATATCATTCTTATGTTGAATGCCTAATTCTCTACGGATATTTAATTACATAATTGTTACTTAAAGTAAGTACAATATGTATAATTTATAAAGCTACCATAGCTTATATTACAACCTTGAACCTATTTTTCACTTTAAAAAAACAAGTTAACAACAATGCCTAGTGAGAAAATTACAAGAGAGCTGTACAATAAAAAAGATTGTATTTCAGGTCAGCATATATTCTATATGTTACCGTTTGCATCTTTCCAATATATTAACTACCACCTCTTTCTTTTCCTTAGAATTGTCACTCATGCATTGATTTCAAGGTCGCAAATATATTGATATATGTTATTAGATAAAATAAGTGGTTATTATTTTAAGAATATTTTATAATAATAATAAAGATAATTATTATTATGAAATATGTTAAAAATAATAATTTATTTTATCTATTAATATATATCATATTATTTTATCATGTTAAAAAAAACTCAGATTAAAATTTGCAAAAAGTATAAAATGGATTTTTTTAATAAATATTTATAGGTAAGAAATACAAATATTTTAATTACCAATTTAGTTGTGAGACGGGATGAATAGCGTGGCATTGTTATATACATGCATACTCGCTATTTATTAGTGGTTTTTATTTATTTTTTTAAAATCAAATAATTGAAATGAAGTTATCGGTAATAAAAACATGAATAATTCAATAATTATTTAAATATTGTTTTTATAAACTTATATATTTTTTAAAAATTTATGAATTTAAAAATAACACATTTTTATTTAAATCTACTTTTTAGAAATTCTAATTTTATTTATCTTAATATTTTACTATATAATTTTATTTGGATAATACATTTAAGATAAAGAATCATTTAAATTTTTGTATTTAAAATTAAATATAAAATCAAAGTATATCATTGGATATACATTATGATTTAGGTATAAAAAGAGGTCACAATTTGTTTAAAATGAGTATATGTTCTAACCAAAAGTTCTAGAGGACTCAAAACTAAAACATTTAATATGTTAGTCGTCTTTGATGGGAGGTCTTGATATATATATATTTGTAGACTTTTATTACAATTATTCGTCCCTTAATTTTAACTTCTTTGAACACATTTTATTTAAAACATACTTATTAAAATCACTGTATAGTTCTAATCGACTTAATGCATAACATCGTAACACTAAAGTATCCAGCAAATAATTAGATTGTCAACCGAGACAAACATCTAGCTAGTATCCTCTCATCTCATTTATTATCGAGAAAAACTAACATTATGAATGAGAATAAAAAATTAAGAAGTATATTTAAAAAATCTCTCTTTGTAAATATTTCTAAAAGAAATATATGTCAATTTTTTATAAATTAAATTATATAACTGGTCTAATTTGTTTTAACCATTTTGGCATTCAGCACTTAAATGTATCCAGAATTAGCAGAATAGCCAAATTTTGATTTTCTATTGCCCGATGTCAACAGCCACTCATTTTGTATACTGTTCTGTACAAAGCCTGTAGAAAGAATATATACAAGGGATATGTAGTTTCAAAACCATTTCAAGCAACATACGACTAACACTACGAGTGAACTGCTGCCTGGAATCACCAATAATCTAGCAATGCAAACTTCACCTGTAATCCAATCTTACCACCATCAGTCACAAGCTTAGCAGCAGTTACCAACCAGTGACCAGGAGCATCATGTGGACCTCGCACAACTTCAGCTGTCTCCACGTATTTAAGTAATTTACCAGAGCGAACAGGCACCGGTGGACCTTCTGGATAAACTCCAGAGTTCAGTGCAGTTGGAGCCTGCTTTGGAGGACCAGTGTTGCCATGCTGTGTGAATGAAAATGTTGTGCTCAAATTTGTGAGAAAAGATGTTTTTCTTGAAGCCTCTGGCGCAGCAGACCACTCTGACTTTCGGATACTGCAATTGGGTACATTAGTGAAGAGAAGGCGCAGGTGAAGCACATTCATTGGCCAACTCCCTTTGCTAAGCAGTTGTGCACCTGTAACAATATAAACACCTCCAGAGCTGTTCAACCAGTTAGGGTCATGTTTAACCACTGCTGTGCACACATTTGAGAATCTCTTCCATCTGATTCGTTCCAGAAATTGATCGCTGGAATCGTTATCATCAGATCCTCGCCACATAGATGGCATGCCCGAGGTTGAGGTTCCTGAAGAGAGAATCATTTTATTTGGGAGGCTTGAAAGATGATGTATATGCAAAGCAAGTCTATCGCATTTCCTTCCCTCCAAGTACAAGCGCATGCCAACCACAGGTTTTAGTTCACTTACCACCTGACATTTTGTATAAAATACCACAGTTAACAAGAGTATATATTTTGTGAAGAATAAGGGTAAAGGATTGATGCCTCAAGATAGTTTCCAGTCATAGATAAGAGAATGGAGAAAATAAAACAAGCGAAAACCCCTGCAAAGCTATGCAGCACACATTATGAAGAAAATAGAAAGAATAACTCAGGTAGCCAGGAGCTGCATGACCCTGAACACATACTATGACATGTCAGAACTGAGCACATTTCCTAGGACCTTAAGGTTGTGTTTTGCCTTTGACTACCTTGGCCACTTCTTAAGAAAGGTAAATGTTGATGGAAAAACCAAATTCTGCCCTTAATCATACAGAATACAGTGCAGATGTGGATATTTTCATCCACCTATATAGATCCTAAAGCTAGTTAGAACTTATTCCTATCATGTATAAAAAAATATGTTGTAAAGTCCTCAAGAAGAAATTACAACAAACCAAAACCAAAAGTCAAATAGGAGGAAGGACAACCTGAAAGACAAGCCTTTTCCAACTTAGTGAGATCAGCTAGATGCATTGTCAGCTTATTTTTCTCCTTAACCAGAAAAATGAGAGATAATTTTGAAATAGCGTTTTTTTTTTGTTTGGTTGAGAAGAAAATAAATACAGAAGAAAAGAAATGAAGAGAAGAGAAGGTCGTGGAAATGCATGAACTTTCAACCCTGATGAGAAGAAATGCCAAGAAGTACGTATTTTTACTTCACTGCCCTCCACAACTGATCTGTGGAAACAGCTCCGGAGTGCCACTGTAGTAAGTAAAGAGGGTGAAGAAGTTGTCAACATTTATGGGGGTAGATCCAATTGGTTGGATTGCTAGGGCTTAAAAGAGGTGCAAGAAATTGATTCATTCCATAAGTTGCAATATGCATTCATGAGCATGGAGGTTGTGGCAATGCCTTGGTTCAATTATCCGTGCCAAGATAACCCAAAATTAGATTGGGAATCATTTTCAACAGCTTTGATAAAAAGATTCAAAGATACCTATGGTACCCACATCTTTAAAAGGTTGACTGCCATGAAGCAAGAAGAACAAACTGAGATGAAAACTTGCGGCAAAGAAATGGAGACTTCCACATTATTCTTGAAAGAGAGGACCAATTTTTTTTAGCTGAAAAGCGTGTTGCACAAGATATTGAATGAAGAGGGTGATCCACATTTCGATGCACAAGAAAAAAATAGCATGAAGGGAAGCAGGTAAAAATGCATTGCAACAGAAACTAGTTCTTAGACAAAGAAAGGTGGAACTACCCACATTTGATGGAAACATAGAAGGGGAATTGGATTCAAGGAGTGGCAGTTTTGAGTGTGATGGCTATCCATTTCAATTCTTGAAATAAAAAAATAGAAGTAAAGAAGAAGGTTCAGTAACCAAGAATCACATCCTTTATAGTGAAGAAGAAAATGAAGATATTGCAAAGATTATGATGGAGGAAGATATTGCTGCATCAATAAAGAGGGTGAAGATTGTGGGTTGTGAAAATCATTTTCTTGACAACCCAATTGTAGACTTAATCCAACAGGAAGTTGAAGGTTGAGATGGAACCAAATATCATTTGTTTCCAAATTCAGATTTCCATATTAAGAATCAGAAATCACGGTTGGACCCAAATTTGATAATGAAGGTGTTGGAACATCAATGGTATTAGAATTTGAAAGTTTAATTTGCTGGGTGAGCCTTTAACATTAAACTTCATTGCCTCTATGAATCACAGCTTGGTAATGGAGTCAATGCAGAAGGAAGGTTCAAAAGCTATTATACTAAATCCACCCTCATCCCCACCACCACCCAAGCTACCAGACCCGAATTTAAATGCAGTAGCCACTAGCTTCTCATACTATAGCTGGAAAACATCATAATGCTTTTAAAAAGGGTAAATGAAGATCATGATGATGAAGATGAGCAATTCCACTATTCCAACCTTGAAGACAAGGTTGAATTCAGGTGGGGTGTATTGTTAGGGTGTAAGGTGAAGGAGAAGTTAGTAAGATAATTAGTAGCATATTAATGAGTTAGTTAGTCGTTTTAGGTGTTAATTAGATATAAATATGGTAAGAAGGATATGGAAGGGATTTCATTTTTGTAATTTGAACATTAGCTCATTGTGAAAGGAGAAATCCTTTGTGAGGGGGAAACCCTTAGAGGAGAAAGTGCTTTAGTTCCTGTTCTTCTAACTCTATTTAATAAAATATTTACTTTCTTTTTCTTTTCAATTCTTGGTTCCTAACACAAACTGATAGAAAAAAACTACCTTGATTCAAGGTCAAGGCTACCTCCTAGAATTGAGGGAGAAAAGGGAAGATGGAAATAACTTTCTGGTTCCTTTCTTTCATTCATTCAACGAATATATACAAAGTATGAACTGCCAATGATTGGCTAGCCATATTTTAGGGAAATGCAAAATAACCAAAGGAATAATTCCTCAACAGAACTAATAACTAAGGCACACCTCACAAAGTAAAGATTTCCCTCACAACGGTCTTATTTTATTGTTGATAATCTTTGAGGTAGGATGGTTTCTTACGCATCCTCTTGGTCTTGGTCTGTTGGTAGCCCATCATTGCTAACAATACCCTCTCCAGGAAGACTCACCTTACCCTCAAGGTGAAACTGATTGCAAAGATGCTCCCAATCCTCCCACGTAGAATCCTCCGGGGCTAATCCCAGCCATTGGACTAGCACCATTTGAGATGGAGGAGTGGTGGATGTGTCTAGTTTCGAATCTAGAATTGTCAGGGGTTCAATGACTGGTTTGTTGTCATGCACCATAATAGGCAAGGGTGTAGGATTGGCATTTAGGGGACCAATATGCAATTTCAACAAGGAACAGTGGAAAACTGGGTGTATTTTGGATTCGGTGCAGGATTGGCATTTAGGGGACCAATATGCAATTTCAACATGGAACAGTGGAAAATTGGGTGTATTTTGGATTCAGAAGGAAGATCAAGCTTGTAAGCAACTGGACCAATGCGAGTTGTGATGCAAAAGGGGCCATAGAAACGTTTTTCAAGCTTGTGGTGGGGGGAACCACGAACATAGCCTTGACGGTACGGGCATAAAGGCACATATACCCAATCCCCAACATTGAAATCAATTGGGCGGCGCTTGGAGGTAGCAGAGGCTTTCATTTGACGTTGCACCTTTTCGAGCTTCTTTGTCAAAGCATCCAAGATATCCTGACGTGTGGTCAAGAGAGAGTCCACAACCTCAACGGAAGAAGTACCAGTGAGGTAATGTGGAATAGAAGGAAGAGATTTGCCATAGGTGATTTGGTAAGGAGAGAGGCCCGTGGAAGAATGAACAGTAGTATTGTAAGACCACTCAGCCAAAGATAAAAACTTCCCCCAAGTTGCAGGATGGTTATGAACGAAAGCTCGCAAATATTGCTCTAAGGTTCTGTTGAGAACTTCGGTCTGGCCATCAGTTTCTAGATGATAGGATGTGCTCATGCGCAATTTGGTGCCACACAAATGAAAGAGCTCTCACCAAAATTTGCTAATAAAGATAGGATCACGATCCAAAACTAGACTGCAAGGGAAGCCATGGTATTTGCATACAATATTCAGAAATACGTGAGCTACTTTGAAGGTTGTGAAATGTGTTGGTAACATGCCAAAATGGGCTCCTTTTGAAAATTGATCGACCACAACCAATATCACCGTATTGTCGTTAAAGGTCGGGAGACTAGTGATGAAATCAAGTGATAAATCCATCCAAGGTTCAAGAGGAATCGACAAAGGCTGAAGGAGTCCTGCGGGAGGTTTCATACTTGGTTTGTTGGCAAACGGAGCAACGAGAAACAAATTGTTGAACAGCATTCCATGCCAAAAGAAATTTTCTTGTAGGCGGGACAAAGTTTTAGTAACACCCATGTGTCCACTAAGAGGGGTAGCATGAAATTCTTCTATCAAAGCAACAATGAAGGGGTTCCTCAGGGTGAGCCAAAATTTTCCTTTGTATAACAAAAGATTATCATGTATGTGATAATGTAAATGTGCCTCTGGATATTGTTGGACTTGTGTAAAGAGATGCGAAAATTCTAGGTCATCATGCAAACTCTTGCGGAGCTGTTCTAGGAAAGTGAAGTGAGACATGGAAAGAATGAAGAGTTGGCCGGCTTGAGGCTCTTGAGGGCGAGAGAGAGCATCGGCCACAACATTTGATTTTCCTGACTTGTACTGGATCGAATAATCAAAGCCCAATAGTTTAGACAAATAAATTTGTTGCTCAGGTGTCTGTATTATTTGTGACATAAGCTCCTTCAAGCTACGGTGATCAGTCATAATGATAAACTTGTGCCCTAGAAGGTACTGGTGCCATTTTTTCACAGCAGCAGTAATGACATGTAGCTCACAAACATAGGTGGAGGCACGCAGTAACTTGGGACAAAATGGCTTACTATAAAAAGAAAGGGGGTGACCGTTTTGCATAAAAATTGCTCCCATGGCTGACCTGAGGCATAGTCTCCATGTGAAAGGGTACTGTAAAATCTGAAAGTGCTAGTACAGGGGCCTCAGTCATGGCACGTTTCAGTTTATCAAAAGCCAATTGAGAGTCAGGACTCCATAAAAAACTATCTTTTTGTAATAAAGTAGTCAAAGGTGCAGCAATAAAAGCATACCCTTTAATGAAGCGACAGTAAAAACCTGTCAAGCCTAAAAACCCATGTAGTGCCTTGGCAGAAGTAGGGGTGGGCCAGTCAACCATAGCTTGAATTTTTGAGGAATCAGGTTCCACTCCGCGAATAGATACCACATGTCCCAAGTACTTAATCTGTTGTTGGGAAAACACACATTTTGATCCCCGCAAGAAAAATTGTGCGTCCAACAGTTTGAGGAAGGTTTGTTCCAGGTGAGAAATATGCTCCTCCAAAGAAGAGCTATAAACGAGGATATCGTCAAAGAACACAATCAGAAATTTGCGAAGGAAAGGCTGAAGTGTCTC